AGCCTGGCCCCCAGCCGCAGAGCCTTGGAGAGCCTGGCACCCAACCGCAGAGCCTTGGAGAGCCTGGTACCCAACCACAGAGCCTTGGAGAGGTTGGCACCCAACCGCAGAGCCTTGGAGAGGCTGGCACCCAACCGCAGAGCCTTGGAGAGCCTGGCACCCACCAGTACATCCCTTGAGAGACCCACATGAAGCCCTTGTGAGATCTGCACGAGGCCCTGGTGTGAGCGCAAACGGCCCTGTACAATTACTGTATAATCATGGATTGATGGAATCAGGGGCGTAACTAGAAATCACAGGGCCCCATAGCAAGATTTTGTATGGGGCCCTGTGATCTCTAGTTACACCCCTTGCAGAGCCGATTTGAGATCCCACACAGCCCACCTGAGGGTGCAGAGCCCACCATAGATTCTCTAAGGTGGGCTCTGCAGGGTCACCCTCAGGTGGGCTGGTCACACTCCTTACCTGCCTGCCTCCTCTTCCTCCACCATCGGTGATGAACCCCGCCTCCCCCGTCGGCTGGCCCTGCCTCCTCTTCTGATGCCAACCTCCAAGCCCCCCCTCCTCCACTGGCGGGTCCAGCCTCCTCCACCGCCGCTGCTGGCTCTCGCTGACTCGGCAGCGGCTGTGGAGAGGAACGCATCGCTGCACAGATCACTGTCAGTGATCTGAACAGCGGCACGTTCCTCTTCACAGCCGCCAGTGACAGCCACCAGCATGAGATGCCATCAGGCCCAGATTCCCCACAAGGCCACCGAGGCCCTCGGGGCGGCAGGGCGCAGAGGGGCGGCAGCGGTGTCCTTGTGGGGAAGTTCCGGGCGTCGGGCGGTAAGTTGCCCTCCCTACATTTAGTCCTGCTTTGCACAAGCCGAGTTAAATGTAGAGTGAGGCAGCCGATTGTTCGTTTACATGTGAACTCGGCCATGTCGCAGAGATCACATGTAAAAAGTGTGCAGCCTCCCCCCCCCTGCCCTTACCCCTCTCCTCTGGTTCCGTCCTCCGCCGCCGAGTCTCTCCTCACTGCAGTGAGCAGAGCGGCCGGGTTAAAAGTAACCCTGCCACACCGTGCACACGGTGAGAGAGGAGAGCTGTGCCGTGCTGTGCCGTGCTGTGCCGTGCTCTTCCTCTCTCACCTGTCACAGGAGTTCCAGCACAGCGCTGTCCCAGAACTCCTGTATTGGAGGTGACAGGGGTCAATAAAGAGAACCTGTCACCTCCAATTGCTATCACGCAGGGGATTGTTTTCTCCTGTGTGATATCATTAAAGTTAAGTGGGGGGGGGAAATTAAATGCATTTTTTTTTAATTTTAGATGCCATAGCGACCCAGGCAGCCTGCAGGGCATCAGGGATGTCCTGGCCGGGCCCCATAGCGGCCGCCTGTGACTGGCGCCCAACTTTTTGATCACACATCCCTTCACTGGCCTAGGATCTGCCCCTGAGAGTGAAATGCCAGCCCTCCCCCCTACCCTTTCGGGGGCCATCTCAGGCCTCTGGGGGTCAGGGGGCACAACACTTCTTTATGGTCCCTCCTATGAGACACCATGTATAGGACATACAGTATACACACATATAGGATAGAACAGGGGTATGGTGCCATCACCAATCACAGGGGGTGGCATCTCACACCTTAATCACCATGTATTGTGACATGACCGTATTTACACATGATCACGCTTGATTGCCTAACATGCATTTTGCAATAAACAGGTGTATCTGAGGCGGAAATGTGCGAGACAAACAGACTTTCTTTTCACAGTAACCTGTTCAACTGGTTAAATTTGCTCATCAATTCTTTGTAGCTTCTGGATACTGAAGACATATCGTTATCCTGCGCGAAGCTATATGAGATCCAGTCTTATCTCCTACTGAATTTACTGGTATGAACTCAACATGTTATTGATCTGTAACCTCTAACCAGCGGCATATCTAGGGGATGGTAGGCAGGGCACATGCCCATGGGGCACCACATGTGGAGGGCCGGGGAAGGGAGGGGGGGGCGTGCTGTGACACTCAGGGACAGTGGTGTTGCTCTCTGCATTACACTTACATGCACGCTCAGATCGTAGGACGTGGGGTGACCTGCTTCTCTAGCAAGCCAGCACGGGAAAGGAGAGTGCCAGAGAGCGCTAATGAGAGCCTGAGAGTAGGGGAGAGCGCCAGAGAGAGCCTGAGAGGAGGGGAGAGTGCTGGAGAGGAGAACCCCCGGAGAGGAGAGCGCCAGAGAAAGCCTAAGAGGTGGGGAGAGCGCCAGAGAGGAGGGGAGAGCGCCGGAGAGAACC